TTCTCCATTCTGGATACTCCCTAGCTTGTATTCTCTGGGAATTTCAATAATCCCAAAAGCATACTTGGCCCCCCAAATGGATCTCTTTCAGTCGGCTTTTAATTCTTAATTAATTTTATTTCTAATGTTAATTCTGCCTTTCAAAGCCTTGTTAACTGTCTCAAGTACCCACTTGACTAGAAAGGGAAGGCCTCAATCAAAGAACCTTTTGTTTCACATGATCTATAAATTACATGGTCTTGTCTGGTATGGAGATCACTAATATTTTATTGAATCATCTATACATCTTTGATATAAAGTACACATTTTATTTTCAAATAGAAACATCCCAGCCTCCAATATTCTCTTTTTAGATAGAAATAAAACCTACAAAGAATACCTAGGCCTGTCATCATTCTGAAAAGAGCACACCATTATAATAATCATCTCATAATGTAATACAGTATTTAATCTCTTTGCCTAAATATTTTGAATCATACTTTATTAAGGCATTTATCTTTATAATCTTTAATGAAGGAGGATATAATGAACTCAATATATACAGTATGCCTTTTTAAAGGTAGTAATAATACCAAATATTTAGCTTTTTTTTTTGCTATATTTTGCTTCAAGGGAAAAAGTTTCTCCATCAATACATTACAAGGAAAAGTTGGTGAATGTTGAAAATGCAAAATACAAAGTGTGTGACTCTGTGTGCATTTGTTCACTTTTAAAATTTGTATGTTAGTGAATAGGACAACATATTTATGTTGATTAAGGTTAAATCAGAACCTGATTCTTTCCCCATCCCATAATGTTTCTTGGAATGCAGAGACTGAAATGAGAAACAGCAAAATAACTAGAGCCCTTAATTCTATAACTCTACAAAAGCAAAATAACGACAGTCCTTTTAATTTTTTTCACAGAACGAAAATGCCACAAAGGAGAAAGGGAGGAAATAAGATGGAGTGGGAAAGTAGTGTGATGATTGACAGCTGTAATCATGACAATGACAGGTTTAACCAGGATTCTCCAACCCCAGGGATTTGATGGAAGGATTTTGATGAGTTATACCATCGGGTTCTTTATTCCATAGCAGAAAGAAAGGTAAAGGTCTGTGAGGAAATTGTGTGGCCTAAATCCACTGAGTATGAAAAATGTTGACTATTGAAATTCTTCTGCTTCTATCACCATTTGCTACAGACCCACTTTTAATCTATGGTGAAGGTGACCATCCTGCACAGCTTTAAGTCTGTGGACTTCAACTCTCAGACCTCTGGACTTCAGCTCCCAGAATTCCCCAGCCAGCTATGGGGAAATTGAAGTCCACATGCTAGTTGGGGAATGCTGGGCGTTGAAGTCCACAAATTTTAAAGTAACTAAGGTTGGGCATCCCTTCTCTATTGTGTTATCTGTGTCTCTGGTACTCTTGTAAGACATTAAATTGTTTTCTATTTATTCCAGTTCCTATTACCTTTTTGCAAGATTGCTGGTTTTGAGGTTTTTTTTTGCTTGTTTTGTAGTCTAAGAACACTGTTTGCATGTTATTTTTGTCACCACTACCATCTCTCCTCCCCCCCCCCCAAAAAAAAGAGGGAAGGAGAAGTTAATTGTTCCTGCTGCATTTTAGAAACATTTTCTTTCTTTCCATTAACTCCATCCTACTTTCAAATCTGCAATTATCCTTATGAAAACTTACAATGTTTTTACTTAGGGCCAAGTTGTAATTTGTATAACTTTTTCTTTTCTGATTTCAGTTATTAACACAAAATGCATTTGCACTTTCCATGACATCTTGATTTAGCTTCACCAAGTCTAAAATTAGAAACTTGTAGGGGTATCACTTTGAATAAGGCACATTGAAGCAATAGAAGTCTATAACCATGGCTAGGTTTTAAAGGGAATGGTGAAATCATATTGTGTATTCTTGGTGTGTATTCTTAATTGCAGGGTTATGACTTTATTGAGCTCGACAATTAATTGAAGCTGACTTCTCTACATCTTAAGGAATCAAACTGGTGTTCAGTCACACTTTTCAACTTTACAACTGTTTTGACTAAGTGGAAGAATCAAATCATACTTACTAAGTTACTATATGTTATTGTTTTAACCAAATACATATTTGCAATCAAAATCTCTGCAACTTCCAGCTACCCTCTCTCCACATAAGCAAAGATGACAAGGTCTGTAAGAAAGTTGCTTTGAGAAAATGATTTGGACCACGAAGGTGACAAGATTCAATTCAATTAAATGAAGTAAAGGAGAAGCTACCCCATTCACTGGGACAAAATAATTCAAGTAATTTCAAATATTGTTGTTGTTGTTTTTTTTTTTTTTGAGGAATGGATTATTCATTGGCTGAGTATTTTTAGGCTGGGCAGCTTTAGAATTGACTAAAACACGAGGAAGCTACAAATCTTCAGCAGATGTTAACAGGGCTTTAAGGTAATCATCTCCAGCACATGCTGAAGGATTGCCTTTAGCATTCATTAAAACACTCAAGCTGGAAAACTTTCAGAGAGACTTCAAGCTGATTATCTTCATTGGACATTATGGGCAATCCCACACCATTCACTAAAGTGGCTCACCTTGGTGAGTCAATGCCACTTGACGAAGAAGGCTCCTCTCAGTCTTCTCCAGTACCATGAGCTCTTTGGAAAAAGAGCTAGAAGGACTCTAAAGGAGGAGAAGCAATATTGTCACTTTGCTTCCATCTTAAAATAATGGACCATGTTATTTCATGAAGGTGGAATGCCTTCAAGCTTTCACTGAAGCAAAGTATCTTGTGAACTTTTACATAGCCTTAATGAATAAGGTTACCGGTATAAATCCTTTTTAGGAAAGTATTGATTTATAAAAAATTATTTTGTATGTGGTTAATGTTGAATGTAGGGACTCATTAGCTTAGTAGCTAAGATGCTGAGCTTGTCAATCAGAAAGGTCAGCAGTTTGGTGGTTCAAATCCCTAGAACCGCATAATGGAGTGAGCTCCCATTACTTGTCCCAGCTTCTGCCAACCTAGCAGTTTGAAAGCATGTAAAAATGCAAGTATAAAAATAGGAACCACCTTTGGTGGGAAGGTAACAGCGTTCCATGCACCTTTGGCATTTAGTCATGCTGGCCACATGACCATGGAGACATCTTCAGACAGCACTGACTCTTCGGCTTTGAAATGGAGATGAGCACTGCCCCCTAGAGTCGGGAACACATATGTTCAAGGGGAACCTTTACCTTTTAATGTTGAATTTATCCTGGGGGAAAAAAGTTTTAAGTTATTGGCTTGGCTTAGGATTAATCACTATGACTAATCATGATGACCAAGATTGTTAGGTGGGGAACCAATATTGTTCTTTTGTTTTGATTTTCTTCTGTGAACTGGAAGACTGAACCCTTCCCCCAAATAATAGAACATAAACAATATTTAATCATTTTCTATATTCAGTTTGGGGAAGGTAGTATGACTTCCTACCTGAAGGAACAATATCATATATAAGAAACTATCTCCCCTTGTATATTGCCTATTGGGAAGGAACCATCTCTAATGGTGACTGATCACATCTTACCAGCTGCTGAAAAAGTTTTAGTTATTCAGTCTCTAAGCCTGAAGTCTGCAATGGAAAATGTAATAGTTATAGTCTGTTTGAATACAAGATAGGCTGAATGCAAAGAAAAATATTAACCCCAGAGCTGCCATTCAGAGTTGAACCAACAGAAATAACTAAAACTATGTACAGAGATGCAGTGAATAAGTAAACATTAATTGTTGATGTATTCAGAAGAAAACTTGGTCCTGTGCAGAAAAAGGTCCCAAAGAGTTTGGGAAATAATGTCTGCATCTTCTAAGAAAAGAAACCAGGCTTCAGAAATTAAAGGTACAAAAATTGTAAAAGGATTGGCAGTCTCTCAAGAGAAACTGGCTGAGCTTCAAGGTCAGATCTGGAGAAAACAGATGCAAGTTTTAAATCTTCCATATGCAGATGATGAGCAGCCTCTAGTGGATGCTAATAGAGAAATATTTGGGGAGGTGTTTGAAGGAAGATTTGTTGGACCCAATCCACAAGAGTGCCATCAAAATTTAAATTTTCTAATAGACCAAACCCAATGGTTGTGGAATTTCTTCCAAGCTCTACATGTAACATATTAAACTTTCCAGGTACATTACTTCTCTGGAGATTACCAAAATCCTTCTTGTGGTTTAAAAAGTGGTTTAAAAAAACCAGAGTTGAACCACACTTGAAAATAAGTAAGGTAACCTAATTAAATAGAGCTTACCTGAATTTTTTCCCCTTATATGATCTCCAAAAGGTGACATGGAAAAAAAAATCATGAGCTACTTATTGGAAAATAGATTTTTAAATNTGGAGATGCTGAAACGGTTATAATTCTGAAAAACGGTCATAAGTCCCTTGTTTCAGTGCCGTTGTAACTTTGAATGGTCACTAAACAAACTGTTGTAACTGAAGCACATGTATACATCCGATGTATATGTAGCTGTTGAAACCGCAGTTCATGGCAAGCTTCAATTTCTGGTGGTTTTGTAAAAGGTCGCCCCTTTCTCAGAGAGCCAGCCATAATTCCAAACATTCTAATTGCTGATTTTTCTCTGGAAATCTTTACCTGTGTTTCCCACAGAGTTATATTCCAGAAAGCTCAGCTTTAGGTTCATATGGCGGGTAGGAATGGAGTCCTGTTCTCAATCAGAGATATAAAAAACCCTCCTTATTTTCAATCCTGAGAATCAACTCTACCTGCCAAAATTTGGTGGCAAACTGACAGATAATGGTACAATTGTTTGCAAAAGCCAGATAAATTAAACGTATAGAGCTTCCAGTAGTCTTAATGCTCCCATTTAATTTTGAAAAATCCAAGAAACGAGAGAAAGAAGTGGGGATTCTTGCCTCACTACTCCCAGTGACATTGCCACTCCCAGAACTTTGGCAACTGACAAAAAGTCTGATCCCAAACTCTCAAAGACTACCCACCATAGGGAAAATAATAATTTGGTATCTATTCTTCTGCAGTGGAGTGATCGGCAGCGGGCTCTGCATCTTCTCTAAACATCAGATCCTGGACACCTTTTTGTATCAATATTCTGTGAATGGTTACCCATATATGGTGAGTAATATGCTTAGGAAAAAGTCCAAGGCACACCTATTTCTACTGGTGAACTCGTTGTTTCAGTTTTGCCCTTGTGTTTTATGTGTGCGTTTTTCTTTCACAGTTCCAGCATGGAGACTGGTTCGCTGGCAAATCTGTGGGTCTTATAGTGGTAAAGATCCAGGGCATTATTTTCAACGTCTATGTGACTCATGTGAGCATTTTTATTTATTTTATTTTGTTCCACTTTAAAATTATGAAAGCTTCTCTCAAATCCCTCATTGAGTACTTAGAGCAAGCTATCAAAATAACTAAATCATGTGGACAGGGATGAAGCGTCTAGACTTTCCATCTTTTGACTTGAGTTAGGAAGATTCCATCTTCATGAATTCATACCCTCAGTAATACCTTGCTGTCGGGTTCCACATCTTCCTGCACAAGTGGCTGTTTTGAATCTTGATATCTGGAGTAGGCAAAATTCTGTGTGCCTAGACAAAGTGTGGTTAGTCTTTAGTGCTGCAGATCAAGGGGTTTGCACTGCTATTAGAAAACTCGAGCAAGATTTCTGAAAAGGAGGAAGACGGAACAAATATGTACTGTTCACTGTTTTGGGTGTATATGAATGGAACCAGTTTGGTATAGTGCAAGGATCAGCAACCCATGGCTCTGGAGCCACATGTGGCTCTTTCATCCCTCTGCTGCGGCTCCCTGTTGTCAGTCAGCTCCACAATTGATAGGGCTTTCGGTTAGGATAGATAGAGGAAAAAGGATGCCCCGCTAGGAGGAGACTTTATGGTGGGGGAACCGGACTTCCGATTGGCAGAGGAAAAAGGATGCCACACTAGGAAGAGACTCTATGGTCGGGGAACATGACTTCCGATCAGCTCCAGAATTGAATGGGAGGCTTCCGGTTAGGACCTTTGTGGCTGTTTGAGTGTTTAAGGTTGCCGACCCCTGGTATAGTGGTTAAGATACCAAGCTAAAAACTGGGAGACTCTGAGTTCTAGTCCTGCCTTAGGCATGAAGCCAGATTTGGGCCAGCCACTGTCTCTGTCATATGAAGAAGTTGGTAGCCAATCACTTCTAAAAAATCTTGCCAAGAAAACTGCTGGGACTAGTCTAGTGGATACTAGGAATCAATACTGACTCAAAGGCTCCCCTCCCCCCCAAAAAATAAGATATCAGATATTTGTTTCTGGTGTGTTTAAATAGTAACATTTACATTATTTCTGATTCTGGAGACCAAGCAGTCATTAATGCTAAGATTATCTACCAGTCATCTAAGATTAATCAAACAATTCTATCAAAAAGTCCATTTTTATCATAAAACTTTCAGGAAGAAGCTGATGGTGTAACTCACTTTCTTTCCACCTTTCTCTCGTAACCACAAACCAAGATTTTTTTTCTTGTTATTTTATATTTAGCAGCTAAAATGAATGTGGAAATAATGGTTGTGTAATTTCATAGATAATGCACATGTATGCTTTTTATATATTGATTCCCCCCCCCCCTCAGCTCCATGCTGAATATTCCCGAGAGAAGGATACATACCTGCCCCATCGAGTGGTTCAGGCCTGGGAACTTGGCCAATTCATACAGTAAGTACTATAGCTGTAGGATTCAAAAAATGTTTGTGCTGTATTGGAACCCAATGATAGGTGCTGTGCCACTTGTTGTGCCCCCTGTGTCCCCTTAAAGATAACTTAAGTTAGCTAAAAATTAAAAAAAATTAGCTTATATATATATATATACATACAGATGAATAAACATCCTTCTCAAGACGGGCATGAAATAAACTGGGCTTTATATATATATATAAGCCAAATACCACTCACTCATCACAAAATCTCCAGAACTGTAAAGAAACTTGAACGCCAGAAATTTGAAATTCGGCACATATGTTCCTCTGGGCTTTTAGGTGCTTGCTAAGAAAGGATTTTTCAGAAGGACCATCAGATCATCAGTATTTCATATACAATATTTTATTAACATGCGTCGATGCTAAGGAGTTAGACGTTCTACTCCCCCCTCCCCACCTGAAAGGAACTCTGTTCCAACTGCCAGTTGCCTTATATGGGCGTGGCCAGCGCATGACTTATCCGGCCTGCAGGCTGACCCGATCACATGGTTTCGTAGCGAAGCATGGGTATCCAACTAGTTAGAGATAAATTTGATATAACACCGTTCATATCTCTCGCTTCAAAAAGCTCCTCTCTCTTGTTTTGTGATGCTCTCCCACCTTTCCAGGCATACCTCCAAAGGAGCTGATGTGGTGCTACTTGGAGGGGATCTGAATATGCACCCAGAAGATATTGGCATTCGGCTATTGAGAGGATGGACAGGGCTGCAAGATTCCTTCATAGTCGCAGAGAAAATTAAAGTGAGCCTCTTTGCATGCACATTAAGTACATGAATATCTCCACATCTGATATTGTCATTGAGACTCAGAAACAATTATTTCCCTCATTCAAAAGCTTAATGTACAGTGATCTGTTTTATCCATTTCACTGTCTCCCTTTTTGTTCCCTTAAATTTAGATTTCTGCAATGGAAATCCAGTTCACCTCTTGCATTCTTGCTGCTGTTCTAAATGTTGTGTTAAGAGTCTCTGTTGTCTCTGATCTTCTCAGGGCTGTAAAGATGGTTGTACCCTTGTGCCAGCCAACTGCTACATCAACAAGAAAGAATTGCAGTGTTATCCCCAGGGGATTCGTATTGACTATGTTCTTTATAAGGTACGTGCAGGTTAATCTCTAGAAAATAGAGACTGAACAAAGTGTTATAGAGAGAGCTTGGGAAGCAAGTGAGAATGAAAGCTCTCATTTGAAAAAAACTTCCCACTGAACAAGGCAGCTGCTGCATGTTTTCATCTTCATCCTTTGGTTCAGCTACTTGTTGTTTACTGATGTGTTCATATGACAGTTGCTCTCAGAAGAGAATAGGGATGTAGTGGCTCAGTGGCTAAGATGCTGAGTTGTTGATCAGAAAGGTCAGCAATTTGGCAGTTCGAATTCCTAGCATGATTCGCTAGTGAGCTCCAGTTACTTGTCCCAGCTTTTGCCAACCTAGCAGTTCGAAAGCACATAAAAATGCAAATAGAAAAATAGGAACCATCTTTGATGGGAAGGTAACAGCGTTCTGTGCACCTTCAGCGTTTAGTCATGCCGGCCACATGACCACAGAGACGTCTTTGTGTGCAGAAGCTTCTGTGCATGCGCAGAAGCGTCCAGGTGGGTAGGTGGAGCCTCCCGCCGCCGCCACCACCGGTTCACCCGATTCAGGCCGAACTGGCAGATACCCACCTCTGGGCAAGATAAAGGTAAAGGTAAGGTTCCCCCACACTTGTGTACTAGTCGTTCCCGACTCTAGGGGGCGGTGCTCATCTTCGATTCTAAGCTGACGAGCCAGCGCTGTCTGAAGACATCTCCGTAGTCATTGGCCGACATGATTCAACGCCAAAGGCGCACAGAGCACTGTTCCCTTCCCACCAAAATGATCCCTATTTTTCTACTTGCATTTTTTATGTGCTTTCGAACTGGTAGGTTGGCAGAAATCTTAAGTCAGAGCTGTCTTCCTTTCAGAGGCAAGAAGCTATGCATTGCTGAAATCTGGATATATGGTAGGGGATTTTAAATGGCAGTTGTTGACATTTAAGATTAATTAAAGTAGATAAAAATTAGCCAAAGGAACAAACTACCAGGAGATGCAGTAGAATCACATTCCTTGGTGATATTTACCTTTGTGGACAGATTATATGGCAACAAGCTTCAAATAGAGTGAAATTTTCCCTAGGGTAAATCTAGTTCCTTTTGGACATTTCAAACAGCGTCTGTTTTTCTAAAAAAATAACATTCCATTTTTTTCCTGCATTATAAGAAATGGTGTGCATAAGCGCACCAGTGTGCCTACCTTCCCTGTCCTACTGTCCCATTCATATGTACTCTTTTTATGTGTTTATAGCTATGTTTTGCTTATTTATATCCATTTATTTGCGCCATTTTTTCATGTGTTTTCATACTTGTTTTCTCGTACTTGTTGACAAATTAAAAAAAAGTTAATTGTAGCTCATAATCTAGATATAACATTTGGGAGGGGCCACTGTTTCTTTAGTCATGCTGTCTGCAGGTAACAAAGAGTTTGCCATCTTGACTGTCCTTCCTTACAGGGCTCATCTCAATATGATATTAGATGCAAGATTCATGAAACTACCACAGGAACCGCTCCTGGCAAGGATTTCCCTTATTCTGACCATGAAGCTGTCAAAGTGACCCTCTCTGTAGTCCAATCAAACAAAAGTGAAAACAATCTTCCAGTTGGTGAGTGTTCAGATTTCATTGGTTTCCCACAAACAGCAAAAGCAGCAGGAACAGAGAATGTGTGGCCTGCCAGTTAATGTTGAACCACAATGACCATCGTTCCTAGAGAAAAAGGCTATTATTGAGTGATTCTTGGAGCTGTAACATTAAGCAGCATCTGGAATCTCCAGATTCCTTATGCTTCTGCAAGAGGGTTCTTAGCATCAGTTAGACAAAAGGCAGCATGCAATGACTTTCTTGCGAGCTAATTCACTTTTTAAAATTTGCAGCATAACAAATATCCACGTTTATCTTCGGCAGCTTCATCTCCTCACCTTCTTTTGGTTTCTGTCTTCAGGGGAATATAGTGAATTGCTTTATGGCCTAATTGCTCTAACATTCTGGGATTAACTAGCTCCCTGCCTGTCATAGCAGTGCTTCTGCCAAAATTGACTATACCTCCTTTAAAATGTACTTGTTAACTAATCAACAACTTTAGCTAAAACTTTAGCTGGCAATTTCTTGCGATCAACCCAGACTTGATTTTCTCTCTGGTTTCTTCTTACTGTGGATGTCTCTGCTGAGTATATCAGTGCTTTGTTATATAATTCTATTTTTCAGTAATCATCAATTAGCACAGAGCCTGGCTAGGGCTCCTAAATCTTTGCTTGCTTGCCGATTGTCTTCTTCTCTTGCTTGGAATCTCTTGCAAGAGCACAATTAGTCTCTGCCAGCTTATTCAGCTCATTCAACTCTATCCAAGCTTGTGTATGAAAAGCCTCTTACCATATCCCGTGTTTGGTTTGAAGTGATCCCTCTCATAATTACAGTTTGTGGTATCTAGGACAGGGGTCTCCAACCTTTCTGCTCGGCAGACCTGTGGAGTCAGCGGTGGCAGGATGGGGAGAGGGGATGGTTTGCATGTGTGCGCATGCGCCACTTTTACAAATGCAGTTTTGAACGCCCAGGCCCACCACTTCCCCTGGTTCTGGTTGCGAATGAATTGTATCCCAGCACTGGGCCACCAACCCTGGATCTAGGAGATTGTGTAGCAGGATAGCAGATGCTATTTACTATCTTTTCTACTTTGTCACAGCCTATATAATTATTCATCTATAACAGTGATGGCGAACCTTTTTCGCCTCCGATGCCAAAAGCACGTGCGCGCGTCCTATCGTGCGTACTTGCATGCCCATCCCCATAATTTAATCCCTCCACCCGTGCCATGCCCCTTCTGCATGCACGTGTGATCCCCCGGTGGGCCCGATAGCTCCGTTTTTCGCCCTTCCCAGGCTCCAGAGGCTTTCTAAGAGCCTGGGGATGGCAAAAACGGCCTCCCCCACCCCTGGAGGCCCTCAAGAGGCCAGAAACAGCTCATTTTCCAACTTCCAGTGGGCCCAGTAGGTCCATTTTTCACCCTCCCCAGGCTCCAGAGGTTTCTGGGTGGCTTCCCTGAAGCCTCCAGAGGCCGAAAAACAGCCCAATGCAGAAACTGGAAGTTCATTCCCGAACTTCCTGTTTCCGTGTTGGGTGGTGTTTCACCCTCCAGAGACTTCAGGGGGCTTCCCTGAAGCCTCCGGAGGGTGAGAAACGGCTGAAAATCAAGCCCGAAAATCAGCTGGCCAGCATGCGCATGTGCACTGGAGCTGAGAGGGCAACACCTCGTGTGCCATAGGTTCGCCATCACGGATCTATAATTTTCTACCCAGGCACTTATATAAAGCTAATTTCCGGGATAGCTGGATCTCACTGTGTAAAATTAACAGCTTCGTGTGGCTGAAGCTGACCATTCTCTTTGCTTTTAGAGCCAGTTCTGGTGGATGTCTTGAACGAAGCCCGTCTGGAGGTGCAAGTGGGGTTACATTCAGCAAAACGGCAGCAGTACTTCTGTGGCCGCATGGCTGTCCTGGCTCTTTTCCTGCTGGTCATACAAGGAACCATGGCAATGAGTTCCATGTTTGGTGGAGCTCTGCAGCAGACCTTCCCCAAGTTCTCCTTCTCTTTGCTCAATCTACTCTCTGTGTCAGTCCTGCTTATCTCAGCTGTGCTGTATCTCTTCCACATCATTGAAGTGAAGGTGCTGCAGGGAACCGAGGAACAGATGCGGGTGGGGCTGCAGACGCTCCAGGACAAATTCAATAGCAGGTGAAACATTGGATGGATGGATGGATGGTATGGACCAAGAGACTGAGCAGAGGTGGGAATAGCAAGTCCCTCTGTGATTCCCAGCAATAACAGTTCCCTGGTTTTTAAATAAGGAATGGTAGCCTTTGATACTGTAAAGGTAGTGGTGTTAATAGGCTGAATTTTTGAGCAGTAACATTTTTAAGGATCTTTTTTGTGCTGATTTTGATGGGTGGATTTTGAAACTAACCTGGCTATTTAAAAACAATTTTTTAAAATCATAAAATACTGTTTTAATAGAATTAAACACATACTGCTCTGTTAAATTTGTACTGAAAAAGCAGGCAAAAACAGATGCGTAAAATAAAATATTTCTAATTGTACACAGCTGCTTTTCCTACAATAATGTTTTCAGCTGTACTAAGTAAATAGCACCAATTATTGATGGAAATCTGTTTTTCGTATGTAGCTCCCGTTCATTGACAGGGAAACAAAAATGGAAGCTAGCAGAATGAAAGCTGAATTGTCAACTGAATAAGTTTTACAAGTAGTCCTTGAATTACAGTCACAACTGGGACTGGGACTTCTATCCCTAAGCAATGTGGTCATTAAGTGAGTCACTATGTGGCCAACCAATTTTACTTTTGCCATGGTCATTAAGCAAATCCAGTTTCCTCAGATTTGCTTGTTGGAAGCTATCTGGGAAGGTCAGAAGTGGCAATCAGATAAATACCTCCCGGTTGCCTAATGCCTGAATTATGATCATGTGGCCACAGATGCTATGAGAGTCATAAGTGTGAGGACAAATTGTAAACAACTTTTTTCAGGGTTCTTGTAATTTCCAATCGTCATTAACCGAATGGTAAATCAAGGACTACCTGTATATAAATTTGTTTTATAACAAACCAGCCTATTTATGTTAATGTTTGTTCACACTCTCCAGGTTCTAGAGCAGATGGCTGTTCTCTAGCACTATTAGCTGAGTTACTTGAATAAGATAGGCAAGGGATTCTATCTCCATTTACACATGAAGTTTTGTTCTGTCTTTAACAGTTCATGTATGAATGCGACTGCAATTGGGATATGAGTCTTTTATAAAACTGCAACTAGTCATCCGTATGAATAGATCGGGGCCATGCTTCAGGGATTAGGTGGTATCTTTAAAATTTGGGGAGAGTTTAAGGAATGCAATGGGTGGGTCTAGTTTTCTTTTTCTTTTGAGGTAGGAAGAAATTCTTTGACTCTTGTTTTTCATGGTGTCACCTTGCCTGAGGAATTTCAATGGTCAGGCTCCGGGAACCATAAAATGCTCCACCTGCCCTTGTGAGAAAGAAGAGCTGCTATATCCAGGAGTGTTGTGTTTGGCTAGTTTGCGTCCACTTACAACCCTGAGACATTGCATGACAGTTTTGGCCTTCCGTGACTCTTCCCGTCACAGGTAGTCAGATGTTATTCTATGTTAGTGATGGCTAACCTTTTTGTCCTCGTGTGCTGAAATCACGCAGACGCACATGACACCATGTGTGCATGCGAGTCCACACCCATAATGCAATGTTCCCTGCCCCCCTGTGCATGCACGTTCCCCCGTGTTCCCCACACAAACATGCGCGCAACCCTCCTCCCGTGCCCCATTTTGGGCCTAGCAGGCCTCCCTGAAGCCTCCTGGGACCAAATATGAGTTGGGGGGCACCCATTCCCCCCCTACATGACCCCAACACATCACACACACACACCCTTGCGCATGCATCTCCTGCATGCACGGCAGAGACCTGCAAATCAGCTGGCCAGTGGGAGGAGTATGCAGATGTGTGGTGGACCTGAGCAGAGCAACAGCTTGCGTGCCCGCAGAGAGGGCTCCACATGCCACCTGTGGCGCGTGTGCCATAGAATTACCACCACGGTTCTATGTGATTCAAACATTTTACTGGAATTGAACACACAAGTCTTTAGATTTTGTGTACAGTGCATTAGCTTTAGGAGCTGTCCAGTTCCTAGTGCTTAATTGTTGTAGGAAGGGATATATTCAGAATATCATATATAGTCCATCTTTCCTTAAGTTCACAGAGAAGAGCAATACATGTTACCTTAGGTTATAACTCCTCTTCTCTCAAAAGCATCAGAGTCCAATGTAACCAAAATCTGAAACATTAGGGTTTTGGCCAAGGCAAATTTGGTGGAGTCTTATTTGATGTGTAGGGTAAAGCTGATATATCTCACCCCTCCCTCCTATCTCCTCCTTATGGCACATGCATACAGCCCTCGCCTGATCTTCCTGTTTTTTCCTCCCTTTAGTCATTGCTGCCCTCCCTATTTTTGCCCAGATGATAAATGCATATTTTGGACATTGTCACAGACCAATCAGACCTGGATCTGGTGCACAGAACAGTTAATGACTTAAACATTTGAAAACACCTATTATACCTATGTTAAGGTGGGGTTAATCAGAACCAACCAAGACAAGAGATGAACTTGATTGGCTGAGTCAAAAAGTGATTTTTTAAAAACACAAAGCTGCGATACCCAAACATAGATTATACTTCTAAAACTATAATAGAAATTAGTTATAAATCATCCAGTATCTGTAAAGAAGTAGGCACACAGTTCTACCTAGAACGGCATCATTGGTACATGTATTTCTTTCATCTTCTAAATTTCTCTTTTTCTCAAAAATACTTGAAGTGAAAATTATTTTTTAACTAGTTTCAGTTCAAATTCAAGGTCAGGCTTGACTTAATTACTAGAGTAATTACTTAATTATTCTAGCTAAGAACTGTATTGTCTGTCTTCGCAACCATTTGCAATCTTACTGAAAACCAAATAACATAATCCTGGCCACTTCTTAGAGGAAATTGGACCAAGACCAACAACACTTTGAAAAGGTTTGATGGATATTTCCTGTATTGTGAAATTAACTTGGATGACAAAAGACAGAAGGGCATTTTCTTTTCACTCCATTATATTTATTGGAGCAAGTCTGTGAAAAATAAGTTGGCTTATATTCATCCAGAAGTAGCAACTTTCAGATTGTTACCAAATAACATCTGTTCACTTGAAGTTTTTCTTCAGGAGCAGTGTATTGTGATCTGCATCCATATTCGTTGTTTATTTTGCAGGAAGAGCATGCATTTTCAAACCATACTGGTTCAAACCATACTGGTCCAAGATCTTGCCCTATAGCATCTTGTATGCTTGTAGGCACAAGCAAAAATGTGCGAGAGATGCATATTTCTCCTTGCGCATTTATTATAATGGAAGGTCTTTGATGATGGCATTTTAATTTTTATTGTAGGGCATCTATTTCTTTCCTCTGAAATAGTCTGTTGATTCCATGTATCCTTCAAGAGATTTTAACTAATTGTCCTCCTCTAGAATACAACTCTGGACCATTTGAAGGCTTCTCCAAACTTCATGGAAGGATAATGCTTTTTTGATTTTAGAATACTTCTCCACTTAAACAATATAGCCCCTCCTAATTTACCACATCTAGATCACAAATAACAGTCACCTGCAGCAGAAGGGTGAAAGAAATCTTTTCTGTTGGATGAGGCCCTGTGTCAAAGTAGAGCATGCTAACTGCAAATATATACAACAATAGCTAAATAATATGTACATCTTCTGAATATTATTTTCTTTCCAAATAGACAATTTTCTTAAAGCTTTCAACAGTTGTATCTGCAAACAATGAAAGGAAGTTTTGCATACTTTCCTTATCACTCCTTAAAATACTTAAAAACATAGCTGCATCAGATGCATCAAGTTGCATCAATTGCAAAAGATGAGGCTTCTTTGTCAGAGTCTAGAATGGAATGGCATGCCAAATACGGAGGGCATTCAGCAAATTTATCCACCAGATAAACCTGACCTCAAATATCCTAGGCATTTTCCATCACTGGTGCATGGAAAGCTCGGAAAGCTCACTGAGTCGCTTCCTCTCTTGCATCTCGATGAGAGCACTGCGCTGATTCACAATTGCAACCAGTTGGGACAGGATTATCTTCTCTGACTCATAGTCCTCAGAAGTTTTCAAAGAATCTTTAAAATAAAAATCACATGCTCAGAATAAGGAACCATCATAATATTCAATTACATAATAAAAGAGAAAAAGGACTGGTGGAACTGCAAATATCTGGATTACATCTCCAAACCTCTTTGGTTATGCTGACTCTAACCATTTTTGAAAGAGGCAACATCCAAAGACCTGCAAGTTCCCTATCCTTTATCTACTATTTTGTCAAAGGGAAAATATATCACAGGGAAACCCAGGAGTTAAAACTTCATCAGGAATAGGATTCCAAGAATTATACTTTTATAACATGAATGAATGAATGAATGAATGAACATAAACTTTCCTAGTTTTTCTGCCCCAATGTGACATCACTCCATGCACACAGAGCAAACATACCTAAATGCTTTTTTTTTCCCATTCAAGGAATGAATGCATGATGTTTTAGCTCTTGCTGAATGGGCTATTGACTATTCTCAACCAAATTCCTTTATTATTTAAAAAGAAAAAAATTAAGACCAGAAGGTAAACCTTTCTTTTGTTTACATTTCCTATTCTGAGAATACCAGACTGCAAATGACCATAATGAATATGTTGTCAAAGCTAAACTTGGAAAAAAGGGGGAATATTTGTCCACAGAAGGTAAATGGGAAACTTCTCTTGACAGACAAACCTTTTCTTTCGACTTTTTATTTGTTACCCAATGGACATTTCACAATGTTGAGTCTTTCAAGGCTGTGTGACTTGTGACCACCAGATTCCTGGCTTTTCTCAATCACAGCAGGGCTGCTACATTAGTAAATTTCTATCTAAAACCATTCAAAAACAATTCTGAGTATAAATTAATTGAGCTGATTAAATAGCAGGTATTTTCAGGCAAAAATGATTATTGTTCCTCTCATCATGAGCTTGGGCAGCTCTTTATTTATTCATTTGTATCCTACCTTTATTATTTTCTAGATAACTCAAGGTGGAGAACATACCCAACACACCTTCCTCCTCCTCTTTTCCCATATCAACCTATTACCATATTTTTCAGAGTATAAGACACACCTTTTTCCCTCAAAAAAGAGGGTGAAAAACTGGGTGTGTCTTATATATTGAATACAGCATTTTTTACCTCCCAAAACCGCACCCCTTTCATCAAACTGGCTGTGCATAGTTTTAGGAGGCTTGCAGAGTGCTCCTGGGGGGCTGAGGAGGGCAGAAATGAGCAGAAAATTTATTGTTTAATTTTGCCCCCCCCCCAGCCCCCAGGAGCACTCCACTAGCCTCCTAAATGCTATGCATGCTGTTTCTTTAGGGAGGGGGAACGGGCCCATTTTTGCAAAAAAAGGACCATTTTTGGGAGGTCTGCAGAGTGCAAAAACATTTTTTTAATTTGCGTCTTCAAAATCTCGGTACGTCTTATACTCCAAAAATACGGTATGTTCTTTCTTACCTTCGAGATTATAGTAGCGCCGTAGCTCTTGATCCAGCTGCCACTGCTGCTCTTCCAGCTTCAGCTCTTGCACACTAAAAAAATTGTCATTGTTACTATCTACAATTAAGAAAAAGTTCCTGATAACGTAAGGAATTCCCTTCCCAAAAACTCCATACTAAATGAGGAAGAACATGCAGTAGATGATATCAGTATACCTGAGGCACATTTGCCTTGCAAACAGAATTATCCTAGCAAGATTATCAGTATTTTCAAGTTATTTTTCTCTAACCACTGGTCATTTTACTAGTGGAATATTTATTTTATATTCTTCTTGCAGATCTTTCACCCTAAGGGATCCTCTAGGATAGATCGCCTGTCCACGAGTTTCCAGGGATTCATGCTCAGAATTTTCATTTTAGACTAAGTCTCATTCTGTGATTGAGTCATCTTGCAATAACTCATTATGTAGTTGTTATATCTTGCCAACATATAGTTGTTAAATCTGGGCTTAATATTCCGCCACTGTGGTTTTGAAGTTACCATTTATGAATTAGCATGGTATGCAAATCTCGTCACCATTACAAATGATAGAACTTACTTGAATTCATTCTTTGAATTACAGGTGGTAGCCTTTGAGTGCTATTATAGTGCAGCTTTTCTCTTTCTTTTTTTTTTTCATTTTGCTTTGAGTTAATAGAATGAAAAGCTATTTCCTGTTTTTGATTCTGATTTGGTTCTGGTATTTATTATTTATGACATTTGTGGGTCACCCAACTCCAAAATGATACTGGATTGCTTCACAATGTTAGAAGAAACAGTATTATAAAATATTATAAGAGCGATTAATGCAAAACATTATGAAGGCTGTTTGGAACTAGGTAAAAGGTAACACAAATAATAAAGGACAATGAGCTGATGTCAATTATATTTTTTCTCTTTTGGGCAGAATGATTTTATTTATATTCCATGTCAGATTACCTTTTTGGAGTGTGAAATTAAATTCCTAACACTATTCAGGGACACAACTGGGGTGTTTATACATTTTATGCTAACAAGGAGTCATCCTAATCGCTTTTTATATGTTGAGAAGCTGGCCCACTTGCTTGATTGAAAGTTATGTTAGTGAGAGGAGAAACCACAAATGGCTTGTGGTCTCCCTTATAATTCCTATGGCAAATGAAAGAACAGTGCTGGATCGATTTTCTATGGTCAAAATGAGTTATTAATCTTAACTGACATAATTTGCAGAGTTCCTTACTCAATCATGAGGTCAGACTCTTCAGACATCAGGCTGTTCTTCTTTTGGATCAACGTGAGCAACTGGTTCATCCACTGTTTCTTCAGTTCGGACTCTGTTCCTAAAGAATATGATGAAGGGAGATGTGAGAAGTTGAATCTGACACATTAGCTTAAAGAAGAACCATTAGACCACTTTGTGGCACCTGTTTTTCATATGTGGCCATCTCCAAACACCATTCCTAGTCAAGGAAGCTTCAGATTCTTACCTGCCTCTTCTCGCAGAGATTGTTCCACCTTTATGCCCTGCTTCTCAAGCTCCCGAAAAGTCACTTCAATCTCTTCTAACCGCCTCTGGATGGCCTGCAAAAATGTTGGTCATTAAAAGAAAGGTTTTGAAATGCAAGAAGTGGGACTTGTAACCAGATTTTACAGCAGAAAAGGGGATTTTAGGAAAAGGAATCCTTTAAGCAGTGGTGGGATTCAAATAATTTAACAACCGGTTCTCTGCCCTAATGATCTCTTCCAACAACCAGTTCACCAAACTACTCAGAAACTTAACAACCAGTTCTCCCGAAGTGGTGTGAACTGGGTGAATCCCACCACTGCCTTTAAGTGATAACATCACATTTAAGTTTTTACTAAGACTAGGTAGCTTCAAGGCTAAGACATTAATGATGTCACAGAAGAATTTTTGCAAAATCAACACAAAAAGCTAGATAATACAGAAGCATCCCTATATGTTTCCAAACACAGATATAGGTCTCTGGGATTATCACATTCAAATATCACATTCATTCATATTTTCCTTATTATACTTATTACAAGAGCCATGGCGGCACAGTGGTTAGAAAGCAGTATTGCAGGCTAATTCTGCTGACTGCCAGGAGTTCAATCCTCAACGGCTCAAGGTTCCATCTTTCTGAGGTTGGTAAAATGAGGACCCATATTATGGGAGGCAATATGCTGACTGTAAGACACCCAGAGAGCACTATAAAGCTGTATGGAGTAGTATTTGTCTTAAGTACCATTGTTATGCTCATAAGAGAGGCTTTATATTCCAGCCATGCCCCTTCTTCCTTTCCCACCTCCCCAGGCATAGTTCTAATGACATGGAAACAAAGCAGCCAAACAAGGTTGCTTCCAAGGTAATGGGTATCACACTTGTGGTAGACGCTGCTACACCCTTTTGCAGTATTGCACGTAGTATTCTTGATAGCTGCAGAGAGCATGGTGCCTGGACGTCTCTATTTTTTTATAATCTATTTCTTTATTTGAATACATTCTTGACAAAGAAAATCACCTGAGCTTTACAAAACCTCTTCATTTCGGCCTCTTTGGATCGTCGCAACAATGTCTTCTTCCAAGTTGGATACTGAGTTTCTTCAGTTAAGCTGAGGAAATGCTGCAAACCACAACATGCACAGGTAAAAACAAGAGAAGGTCATGGGGGAAGACTTAAAAGCTACTGTCCATCTGTAGTGATTGACTCAGACTAGGCATTGCTGCTTACATGGCTGCTAAAATCAACTGGACTCCTGCATCCCAAATATAAAATATTCTTTATGGAACATGCTTCCCCCAAAATCAAGATGCCTGGGGAACGCTGAAGTAGAGTTCCCAACCTCCCTCCCAGTGATGAATGAATAGATGCAATGGCTGTTAGTCCCACAAATAAGACTTGAACAAGAAATAAATGTACTGATATGATGATGCAACACATCATGCTTTTGTGATTAAAGCTTATTTTATTTCTAACCCCCTCATAAAATTTTTCCTATTTTGAAAGACCGAAAATTGAAAAAGATGAATAAATATAGTGAACTTCACTAATACTAAAAAAAAAACCACAGATACACTACACAGCAGGCCAGAAATTGCTGGATAATAGGAACAATGCCACTTGCTTTGTCTGCACAAAAATCAGCTTTTCAAAAAGTTGCTCACAACCCAAATTGTAAACCATGATTTGAGATTACCTGGTCTGGCTCATGGGGCAAAAGATTGAAGGCCTGCCAAAGTTTCAAGAGTAACCAACAAAGTTCCATTCTACACCTTTTAAAGAGTCTGTTAACTACACAATCTTAACTTGTAACGTGCACAGAGGCATTCCCTGTTTTCACTGTAGACAGCCTTGTGAATTTTGTAAGAGTCTTATGAATCAATATTTTAGTACAGAAACATTTGCTTTTGTTTCAGAGAACTAAAATGGATTCTAAATTACCTGTGGCCATTTTCTAACCCTTACTTCCCTGTTCAGGAAAATTAAAGATTGGTATCACCAGCTAACGGGTTGTCAAATTCTGAGTAACTGCTCCTCACATTACTCCTATCCCTTGTGGATTCAAAGAAGTGTGTTGACATTTGTACCAGCCTGCATTTATCCACTTTGTGAGTCTTTTATTGAAAGGAGTTGCTGGGTGTTTCAAAGTCTTCATAACAGTTGTAAAGAGAAGACAGTAAAGGAACACCAGGGTGACCACAACAACATAGCAATCACATGTAAAAAGATACAGTGAATAGAAATGGATCTTATGTGTAAGGAAGAAGAAAAAGAGTAGCTGATTATACAAGGGAAACAGCATGCTGGGATCGCAGAATGACACAGACATTGAGTAGAAAAAGTAGTGAAAGGCTGTGTCCTCCAAATGCAGATGTTCCCCAGAATTAAGTACTGCTGGAGCGGAGAATTCTGCAAGCCAGAGTCCACTCACATGGAAAGTACTCGGGTTGAGAAAAGATGTACATTATAAAGAGGACAGAAAGTCAACCAAGAAGCTTGTAGATGGAAAAATCAGAAAAAGAAAATAATTAGTAAAGGAAAAAAACTTAAAACCTTTGAAACTTAAAACTTTGTATGCCTTTGAAGGCATACAGAAGAAAGTCTATGCATACGAGATTTTTTTTTACAAAAGTGAAAAGTAACACTAAGAAAATATGACAAATGCTTTTTACCAACTAATATAGTGACAATATGATTCTTCTGGATTATTAATACATAAAAGTAACACTGAGAAATATTTGAACCAAGCATCCAAACATTCAGGTGTCTTGACTCACCATGCTTGGCCCAGGATCTAAGTTCCCTTCTTCCTCCTCCTCCTCCTCCTCCTCACTGTCACTGTCAACCTCCAGAAAATCTGCCAAAGAAAAACAGCTATGATTGCAAAAAATACTGTATTTACTTTGCATGTAACAGAGTCACGGGATCTTTGGGTTAAACGTGCAAGCTTGAACCTAGGGTGGTACTATTTCCTCTGTCACATTTTGAAAGAAGGCTTGCTTTTATAAAATTAAATGAGGCAAATGCTTTGGCATTTCTGCACCATTCAAAATCAGAACTTAATTCTATAAAGGGGAAAACTCTTCAATAGTAAATGGAACACTAGATTTTTTTTTGGGGGGGGGACTTTAGTTTCAAAGGATGAAATCCATTGAACTTTAATGAAGGATTAATGGTTCATTGACTGAAGTGATCATTTCTGCTTTCTAAAGTTGAAGTAGTGCAGGAGGGGGGGAAATTTTTAGTAACATAAAGAGTTTCAACATAGGCTGCATTCAACAAATCACATACAGAAATACATACATAGATGTCCGTACTTCATCTAACAACAAGCAATATGCAGACAGGTACTACATAATAAGATTAATGCATAGCTTGTGTTTATGAACAATGCAAAGATTATGTGAAGTGGGGCATATGAATGAGGCATATCCAGATAATGATAGCAAAAAGAGGAAAAATATGGCTGGAGATGAGGGAAAGTCATTCTAGGGAAAGAGAAATTGGAACTATAGCCCCAGTCTCTCTCTCTAGTCCCATAGTTTCACCTATAGAGCCAGGTAGCTTGATTGCTGAATAGATCATATTTTGACTGCTGCTTTGGAATCTCAGTTCTATCCTCATTCATGGATTCATTGAGAATGAAAAGGTAGACCCTTTAAGATGTGCCATTGAGAACCATCTGGGTGAGGTGCGGGAAAACACACACTTTCCCCATTGAAATCCACCCATGAGGCTATGTTTGAGAGACTGGGCTGAAAAGAACAGCTGCAGTTCTACTGTCTTCCCAGCTGCCTGACTGCACCTCTTCCCATTTCCATTGTTTGTTTGTTTATTGTTTATTGGATTTATATGCCGCCTTTCTCCCAAAGGACTCAGGGCGACGTACAACATTAAAAAAAACACCTATTACAAAAGTTAAAAAGGAAATTAGATAGAGTATCCAAAAACAAACCCAATTAATATTAACAATAACTTTAAAAAAAATAGATTAAAATTAACAATTAAATCAATAATTTATTTTATTTTGTTCAGGCTAGGCCTTTCTTTTTTCCTTTTCCCGAAACAGACATGGATTTGTTTTTCTTTGTTTTTCTTTTTTGCATAACCCACTTGTACTTCCATCAATGGGACGTGGTGGCTCAGTGGCTAAGATGCTGAGCTTGTCGATCAGAAAGGTTGGCAGTTGGGCAGTTCGAATCTCTAGCGCCGCGTAATGGAGTGCGGTCCCATTACTTGCCCTGGCTTCTGCCAACCTAACAGTTCGAAAGCACGTAAAAAAGAAAAACAAAG